AAAGGGTTCAGAGACTGCCTGGCTACAGTATTAACCTATCAATAAATTCAGATTGACAAGAAGAGGCTACTTAGATCAATGAATTTAAAATCTAAAGGAAACATGAAGTTGTAAGTATACTCAAAATATATGGCAGAAAAATAACTTTAAAGTAGACAGGAGTTTCCAGCTTTCACATGCTGGGGGGTGGGGGTGGGGTGGCATATAATTGCAGATGAAAATGTCAAATGAGGGTACGTAGTAGATTTTCAGAAAGCACAACTGCCTTGTATGAATTCTAGTCTTACACATAAGGCTGGAAAAGTTTTGTGGACAGGTTAGTTTGGAAGTGTGCTGAAGACCACCTCATCTGAACTGGTGGATGTCATCAGTCTCTGTAATACAGTGTGACTAGAGTTACAGGACATGAACTTTGAGGATGGACTGAATCACCCTCACCTCTCCAGGCTAAAACACCCTGTTGCAAGTACTTTCCTCTTTAGAACTACAAGAATAGAACAATGATCAGTTACCTGGCGCATAAGACCTATCCTGATGACTACCACCACCAACCACCACACCAGCAATAATTACAGCTAATTGATATGCCAGTATAATGTTTCTTTCTTTTTTTTTTTTTGTCTTTCTTTTGTCTTTTTCTGTGTCCGGCAACGGATCGCAACCCTCGGCTCCGCTCCCGCGCCTCGCTCAGCCAGTGAGCGGGAACCGGTCTGTATGTGGGATCCGAACCCTCGGGCGGGAGCGCCGCCGCACTTCCCAAGCGACACACTATCCAGTGCGACACACTATCCAGTGCGCCACCGGGCCGGCGCCAGTATAATGTTTCTTGGCAGCTAAGTTTCTATGGCTTTTGTATCATTCACTTTATCGCTCTTACCACCATGATGCTCGTGGGTTAAAATGGTTTACTCCTATAAGAAGAAAAAATCTGGAGATATTAAACAGGTATTTTTGTTTTCTAGTTGTCCTTTCTCCCATGTCTAATCACACCAAGTTCCTCTCCACCCACGTCCCTAGAGGCCTTGCCTTTGCCAGCTGCTTTCAGGTTCCTCCTAGATCACACAGCAGCCTGGGTCCTGAAGCTTTGCTTGACTTGTCAGTTATTCCATGTGAGCCTCTTCAGTGGCCCAGGACAATTGGAAAAGATGGGGTGGTATGGAAGAAGGAAGAAGGGAAAACTGGACAAAATCAACAGGAGAATCCACCCCCTATTTTTCTCCAGCCATGACAGGGATAAAATCTTAACACAGCTAAATGTTTTTACACAGCCACACAGCAAAAATCATAAGTGTTCTGCTAAACAGTCTTTGACCCTAGCCTGGTTTTACACTATGTCTCTTGCCTTTTGCTTATTTGCTGGCTCATTCTAGCACACACACACACACACACACATGCACACACAAATTTTACTCACTGATCAAGCTGTAGCAGCACATCTGTGAAGAATTCATAACGTGAGTGTGCTGCAGCATGCTCATTGACAACTGCTGACCTACAAGATCAAGTCCAATCTATTAAATGTAGCATCAAACATGTGGCCCCTCTTCAATTCTTTTCTCACCCTTTACTTTGAACTTTTCATGCCAATAGCATTGAACTTGAGTCTATGCCTTTGCCCCTAATTGGGACCCCTTGTCTGGAATATGTTCCTGCCCCTTTGCTGGGCTACCTTCTACTCATCTTTTAAGAACTCCTCAGGAACACCTGGAATGTTTTCTAATTTCCCTTATATCTAGCTCTGTTATGTCTGGTATCTGTTATGTCTCACCTCCTAGTTCCATAATACCGTGTGTAAATCTTTTATCATTGCCCTTACCACCGTGTCTTAGATGCTTACCCATTTGGATACACCACTAGATTATGAATTTCTAAGGACAGAAAATGTGTTTTAACTATCTTTGTGTTCCCAGCACCTACCTTAGTGGCGAGTACCAACTAGGCACTGAATAAATGAGTGAGTAAATAAGTGGAGTGAATGAATGAGAAATTGAGTGCTTTGTTCATGGTCATCTGGCCAATAACGGTCAGAATGGAAACTAGAACACAAATCTTTTGACTTCAGTTTTTAGTCTTTTTCAGTGATACAATGCTGCTGCTTATGAGAAACATCAGCTGTTAGTTCTTGCTAGTGATAAGTAAGGGCAAAACTGAAACAAAATTCAAATGTCATTCCTGCTAGTCATAAATTAGAACAAAAGTGAAACAAAATTCACTTAAGAACAACAAAAACAGAAAGATGCAGTACTCAATACAAAAATTTCTGAGACATTTTCTGGAATTGTTTGATTACAACTAGGTAGAATTAATAAAGATAAATTTTACGGGAAATTGCAGATAGAAGGAAAGTCTAGACTGGTTCAGAGGAACAAAGGTATTATGAATAAGGAAATCACCTTCGTGAAGGTTCTGAGGACCAATGAAGTAATACAGGGTATGGAATGTGGCCTGCATCTGAGCCACAAGGTAAAGAGAGTCTCTATTATTGAGGATGTCTTGGAATAAGGACTAGGTAGCTTCGTGTGATCTTTGGATACAGCCAGAGATGGGTAAAGGCTCTTTAGTTTCTTCTTCTGATTTCTTAACTGGAGACCTAAGCTTTCTTGAAATAAGAGGCTAGCTGGCTCATTTTTATCAGCGATCTTTGGAGGCACAGATTTGAGTTAATCAATCAATTATTTATATGCTTGTTTTCTGCAACCTGATGACCAGCCTTGTTTCCTGGAAGGCTCTGATGTTGGTTCCATCACATGACCAGAGGGAACTAGATGTGGGGGTTGAATGTATTGCGGATGTTTCCCAGTGTGAATGGTGAAAGCTCAGTTTTAGGAAATGGAAAGTGGCTGATCTATCTCTGGCAGAATACTGCCCACTTGGTCAAAGTTGCTCTCTGTTGTCTCCCTTCCTGTTCTTTAGACAATAGTTTAGAATGATGAATGCAGCCAAGCCCAGCTCCACTGTTTAGTGTTTAGGAGGACAGTAGAGATGAGACGTGGCTCCTGAAGGCTCAGAAGGTTTAAGTAATTTGCCTAAGGCACACAGTGCAGTGGTTCAACTGTGGAAATTTCTGATACCAACATCCTTGCTTTTTCCATAATACCATAAAGTCAGGTGACAGGTTTGAGACCTTGTCCCCAGAATGGCAGAGTAAATCTTATATCTGTAATTAATTCCCAATCTGATGTGCATCTAATTTTCACAGTCCTTAAAGGAGAGGGAACCACACAAGGGCAACCCTGTGAAAGAACAGAATTTACATGATGCAGCAGGTGCTGAACTTTGCTGCCAGGGTTACCTATGTCCAGGATAATTCTTTTTGAACTCCAAATAGATAAACTGAGCCCTTTTTATGGTCACAGTGAAACAGGGAACTTCAAGTCCATTTCCTTCACAGGGGTTGGTTTTACAACCTTTTTTCTTTTCTTTTTTTAAAAGATGACCGGTAAGGGGATCTTAACCCTTGACTTGGTGTTGTCAGCACCACGCTCACCCAGTGAGCTAACCGGCCATCCCTATATGGGATCCGAACCCGGGGCCTTGGTGTTATCAGCACCGCACTCTCCCGAGTGAGCCACGGGCTGGCCCTGTAACCTCTTTTCTGTGTTAAAGTTATACCATTACTTGACTCCAAACTGTGTTTTGATTGTGCTACCCACTCATAGGCATGGCTACTCCCTACCTCCCAGGTTTCTAAATTACTTGCCTGGTTTCAGCTAATCTGTTTACTGTGATTCTCACAGAATCCTGCTCCTGGTGCAGTCTTCAGGTCATTCTAACAATACCCCTGAGCCAGCTTAAGCTTCCTTCCTGTCTTCTTGCCCCAAATTTCACAAATCCCCTATGACTTAGAATGGAGCTAGACCTGTGGAAGGCTGGAAATCTAGTCAGCTGCTTCGTGAATGGTACCATTTCATTGGTCTATTCACCACTCAGGCTCAGGAAGGATAGTCCACAGAGACACAGGAGTCATCTGAGCTCTGTAACACCACCCCACTCTCTTCAGGGCCAGGGCTGAGGTTGAACTTTTTGTATAATATGGCATAGAACACAGTAGCTGAACCTGTGCAAAAGGCCGAGAGCGCTGTCCTGAGGGCTCGACATCTCCCCTTTGTGCTCACATGTCTGGCTTTGAGACCCAGAACTGCCCTTTTATGCTGACTGCCTCAGACAACAAAAAGCCATTCTCTCCTCCCTGAGTTGCTGGACCTCAGAAAGGGGCTATTCATAACCAGGTTGTACTGTTCCCTCCTTGGGGGGTGGGGCAGAGGGGCTGAGAAAGTTCTGCAGACCTGAGGACAGCAAAAAAATATTGGGCTGCTGCCCTCCCACTCTGTCTGAACACCCAGGGTGCTGAAGATTCAAAGGCAAGCCCTTGAGACCTTGCAAAAGGGAAGGTTCCTCCCAGGTTTACTTGAATAGATTTCTCCCAAGATGTTGCCAGGAGAAAGGGAGCAAACAGGAATATTGATAGTCTTGAGTTGTTTGGCTTCAAAGCAGTTCTCAAACGTTATTGTGCAAGTTCTGGAGTGTTTGTTGAAATGCATATTTCTGGGCTCTACCTCCAGCTGTATATTTTAAACAGGCCCAGGGTCACATTTTCCCCTAAAGCTTAAGAAGCCAACTTGGAATGCTTCTCCCCACCTGCTCCAGCCTGGGTTTATTGAATATAGCCACAGCATCAACCAGCCTATAGCAGAGGCTCTGTGATTCACACTTATGGTTCTCACAGCACCCAGGAAAGTTCTAGCACAGGGTAGACTTCATATATTTATTTATTTAGGTAGCTGGCTGGTAAGGGGATCTGAACCCTTGACCTTCGTGGTGTTCACACCATGCTCTACAAAGCAAGCTAATTGGCCAGCCTTTCTTTTTGTTTTAAGACCATTTAAATTACATCAGGCTATAAACGAAGAGCTCAAGCTCAGTGTAGGAGTGTTTCTTAGAGTTTCAGGTCATTTATTGGGAGGATGACAGAGTCACCATAAGACAGAAAGTCCAGTTGAAATATGGGAATCCTACACTGTTTCTCCAAACTGGACAGCTTACTGCATGGAGGACTTCTAATGAAGATACCTCTTGTTATCTTGAGGGCCCTCTGATCCAGATTTGTCTAGATGTGATGGAAAAAGTATTGGGCCAATGTGCAGGAGACTTGAGTCTAGTGAGCTACTAATGAGCTGACTTTCGGGGCTTCACTTTACCCATCTGTACAATGAGGGGTTGGCCAAGGAAACCCCTAAGGTTTTTTTCTGGCTGATTTTCTCAGGTTCTCCAGTCACTGTAGCTTGCTTCTGGTCTTCATCCTCAAGTATGTTGTACTGGGACAAGGGTCAGCCCTAATTCTCCCACTCACCATTTGCCTAGTATGGCTATAATAGCACCTGGTACATAGTAGATGCTTATTAAATATTCATTGCAGGAATAAATAAATATCTATTATAGCTGGTCATAAGGTAAAACAGTCCTTACCGGAACAACGCCCCAGGTAGTTAGGCAGGGCCAGGAGCTGAGACTGCTGCAATCTTAATCTTGTCAGCTGAGAATTCTATTTTTTTTTTGGCAGCTGGCTGGTAGGATCCAAACCATTGACCTTGGTGTTATCAACACCATGCTCTAACCAGCTGAGCTAACCAGCCAGCACCCCCCCTCCAGCTGAAAGAATTCTGACAAGGCACTGGCCTATGCGTGCCTTCATCAGGATGTGTGACAACTTCAGAGGTGGCCACATTTCCTTTCATCATATCTAATTTGGCTTATAAAAGGAATACATGTACATTGCAGAAAATTTATAAATTTTTAAAACGTATAAAAAATGGAATTTTAAAACTACCCATAATCCAGTGATGTTTTCTTTTAGTACTTTTCTACATCTTTGGAATTAAAAGAAAATGATATACATGTTTTTAAGATCACCTGTAATTCAAAGATAATCATTTAAATTTTTGTGCAATTTGCAACGTTTTTCTATGCATGTCTATGTATTTAGAATGTATGCTGTTTATATAATGTCATATCCTGAATTCTCTGCTTACATGTCCATTAAAGTCTTAAGCATCATTTTCTATGATTTCATGATAAGTGCATTTAACCACTCCCTCATTAGGGACATTCAGGTTGTTTCCTTTATGCTTTATATTATAAATATCACAGTGATGAGCATAGCTGTCCCAAATTTTTATTTCTTTAGGATTGAGTTACAGGAGAGGAATACCGGGTCAAAGGGTACAAATCTCTTTAAACTTCTTGAAACACAGTGTCAAAATATTTTGTAGAAAAGTTTTCACCAATTTACACTGAAGGTCAGTATCTTTCAATGAGTTTTGTAACTGCCTCCGCAGAGAACACGAGAAATAGCCCCGCCAGCTTGGAAAGCATCCCTGCGGTTGTGTGGCCCCTGCAGTGGTGGGAGGTGAGAGGCAGGGGGTTCTTTCTCAGATCTGCCTCAGCTTCCCCTCCTCCGGTCTTCTTTCCTAATTCCTTGAGTTCTTCGTTTTTTAAGCTCTCAGGAGATAAAACGGACTGGGGGCGGAGGATGTTAATGGTAATGGCGCTGGGGGTAGGGGGTTCTCTATGTTTGAGCAAAGAGAAGTTTGTCAACAAAAACCCAACATTTGGAAATCCTTCATAGAAACATCCGCCTATACCAACGTGAGTTTCAACAGAGACAGGATGAAAGAAAAGAAAGAGAAGGCGGTAGCGGGGTAGGGGTTGGAGAACGCGTTGCAGGTTTGCCCTCCAGCTAGCCGGCCGCGGGCCCCTTTAAGGACAAATCCGGGACCTGGCCCTTTAAATCTGTGTCAGTTTCCCCTGACGTCAGCGGGCGGGCCGGCAGCCCTGCTGTTTACCGCCTCGCAGCGCCGCTCAGCACCCAGAGTTCCCAGTGTGTGGGCTGTCGCGTCCGCCGTCCTTAAAGGGCCCGCACCCCGGAAAACTCGCCGCTCCGCACGGCGTTCGGTCGCTACCACCTTATCACGCCCCTCACCCACCGCCTCCCCTCCCTTCGTGGCGCCTCCCCCGCCGCCGGCTTCCCTTCCCTCCCCTTTTCCGGAGTCTCCGGGCTCCCGGCAACCAGCCGCCCCTCGTTCTCACGGCCCTGGCCGGGGGCTGTAGGGTCTCAGCCCCTCGCGAGCTGGGGCCTCTTTCCGTAGTCCCCCC